ATCATTAAGAGCACTGTGGGTGCTATTATAAACCCTGCTGCTATTATCATCCCTGTCATTGTCACTGCTCACTTCAGAACTGGAGTCAGCTTACAAAGCCCTACCAAGAGATAAAGCCAAAGCTGACCCTGGCTAACCCAGCACAGAATCATGTGGGGGCCCCACCCATCCACCCATCCACCCATCCACCCAACCACCCAACCACCCAACCACCCAACCACCAGGCCCACAAAGGCCCCAAAACAGAACCTCTTCTGCCAGCTGGGGTAACGACCACTGTTAGATAAAGGAGACACATGTCGGAGCCGAAGATTAAAAACAAGTACAATTATCGGGCAGGCATCCATCCGTAATTACGACTCTGATGTAATTAGGCACCCCACTAACTTCATTACTTATTTATTTACGGGATTGCTTATTTGATTTACGGGCCTTCTTCCCCTGAAAAGTCGTCTTAGCTGACACCCCCTCAGGCAAGGAAGGGGGGGTTGCAAAGAGCAGGAGCCTCTCTCCTGACACCACCCCCATTCCTGGGCTTCTGAACATCAGGCCCCTGCCTTGCCCCACAACGGCTCCCCGGAACTCTGATTTTGCTCAAGATGGCAAGCTAGATCAGAGCAGACCCTTGGCAGACCACAGCTTGACATTCTCTTCACAGTACTGGGTGCCAAAGGACAGGGCTTAACCCGGAGGTCCGGGCGCTCCTCCACACCCTTGGCGCTGAAGCAAAGGAAACCCCAGGAGGGAAAGCTTGAGTTCTGGCCCTGCCTGGCCATCAATTCTTGGCACGACCCTCTAGCTCAGCAAACGCATCCATATAACACATGGAGCCGGAACTTCCTGACACAGAGGAGAAAGTAGGAAAGCCGCAGTTCTGAGTGTCAACTCTCCTCCTGAGGGAGAAATTATCTGGCCTCTGTGTGCCTCAGTTTCCTCTCTGTTAACTGGGAATGTTAGCACAGCCACCACTTGGTAACCCTAAAAGCCCAGATGCCACTATTCAACAACACACTATGGTCCTGGCCCACGCAGTAAGACAAGAAAAAGTAGGAAATTGCCTGACATGACAGAGCCAGCAATGGCAGATGTGTGATCATCTCACCCATCCAAGATTTCCACCATCCACCAGGTGGCCAAACGCAGAATCCAAACCAGCCAATATTGAAGTGTAATCGAAAATGTGACAGAACCTGCTCAGGCGGCCAATGCGTAGACCGACAGTGTCAAGTGCAGGCATGGAAGCAGGGCACCTGCCATCACCACAGCCTGCTGGTGGGAATGCAAAGTGAGACAGCACTTCAGCCAACAACCCTCTGGCTTCTCCATACTTATCACGCACTAGCAACCCACTCCTAGAAGTGTATCCAGGAGAAATAAAAATGTGTTCATGGAGACTCAAGCAGAAATGGTCCAGAGGAACTTTAGAGCCACAGCTAGGGAGGACCAGATCAGCAAGTTGTCAAACATCGCATAATGGAGCCATCCTTGGTAGGAAGGAAAAATGAGCCAGTGGTACGAGAAATGACAATCCCCACTTCATTTCCCAACTTCCATGTGAGGGCTCTGGGTTCTTCTAATGTAAGAGCACTAGGTAGGATTGATCAGGCTCAAAGTCCCATTTGTGCCTTTCTCACTAAGTCATTTATATCAAATCACTTTAGTTTCTGTCCCTCAGTTTCTCCATCTACAAAAGCAAGGTTATAAAAAACAGAAAATGGAGCCAAGGAGCTTTTGGCGAAGCCTGACTACCTGAGTTCGATCCTGGAACCCACATGGTAGAAAAAGAAAACTGACTCCCACTAGCTGTCCTCTGGTCTCCTCTTAAAAGACCATGTCAAACATATGCACACACATGCCTGAACACACACGCACAGGTTAAATGTCAAAGTGTTTTGAAGCCCTAAAATGAACGAAGGCAGAAGCACTGGCTGCAGATCCTGGTATACAGCAGGAGCCTTATTACTGCTGCTGCAAAATAATTAATGGGCAAAGCCCAGTGTATGGGGGCACATGCTGGGAGTCTTCTAACCCTGGCAAAGGCAACAGGCAGGACTTAGCTCAGTAGCTGCCTCCAGGTCCCCCAGGATCAGGCCAGGAATCTGACTGATGATGGTTGGCTAGGGCAGGACAAGGGTCTGACTCCACGGGAGCCCTCTCCTCTCAGGAGACAAGAAACAGTGAGGCCTGTTAGAAAGGCTCCCCAGTCACCCCGAGGGTCATTTCAGGCCAGTGCCAGTCCTGGAGAACATGTGAGGGAGGTGGGCAACTGGGGTACTGACATAGCCACACTCACTGAGCACAAGGTCAGACAAGAGTCACCCTGAAGACAGAGAGGACAGACAGAAACAGGACAGACAGAGGGAGAAGCTGCAGGGGTTGGGCCAATTCTGCCGCCTCCCAAGGGCCTACTGCAGGCCTACCAGGCTGGCCCCTGCGACCCAGTGAGCAAAGGAGAGGCGTGCATAGAGCAAGCAGGAGGGGGTCCCCCGGGCCCGATTAGCAGGGCAGCTGCAGGCAGGCGGCTCAGCTGTCAGACTCCACCATCACAGGCACCATTAATTGCTGTCATTTGAGGGTGGCCCTGGGGGAAGAAGGAAAAAGGAGGGGAGGGCAGAGAAGGAGGGAGAGCAGGGAAGGAAGGCAGGAGCCTGGTCAGGGTTCAGCACCCCAGCTGGGAAGGAGCCAGAGGATGGAGGATACTGACCCTCCATGAGGGAAGGGAGGGGGAGTCCTGTGCTCCCTGGCCATGATATCCACAGCCAGGGCTTGAGGACCAAACCAGTCCCGGTACCTAGATGAGATAACCCAGAATGTGAGCCAACTGCCACCCCCATGATCTGCCCACTGAGCCCTGGACACTTCTCTGCCTGCCCTAACTGTACTCCTGACTGTTCTGGTCCCCCTACCAACCTCTCCCCCGTCCCATCATGCCTGGACTCAGGTAAACCCCCTCTCCTGCCCAAGCCTATAACACCAGTGGCCCTCCTGTAGAAAACGCTAGAGGCCCCACTTCCCACGGCAAGCTCAGAACAGGGGTTGGGTACACCGCAGAACCCCCAGGTCCTCAGCAGTGCAGTGTGGGGACCTCATGTCACCTCCCAGGCTTACTGCCCCCATCTGTAATGTGGGGACAGTGACATGGCACTTTTGGTGTGCTCTGGGGATCAGATACGGTCATTCCACAAAGTGATCAGCAGGGACCTGAGGGTGTGTGCAGGTGGTGGCTGGCTTAGTATCCAGACTTCTGTTCCCTCTCCCTCACCAGACTGTGCCAAGAAACAAGGGTCTCCAAAAGGCCTCATGGCCCTCTGCTCACTGGGGATGGGGCTCAGGACATCCCTTGGCTGATCCTGTAGTTCCCAGACAGCCTTGTCTTGGCTGAGGAGCCGCCTGGGTCCCTGGCTCCCCGCCCTCCCCCTCTGTCTGCTTCCCTCCTCCCACAGGCATGATGGATCGCCCCAGTGGAGGAAGCTAAGTGCTTGCAGACAAAAAGCCCTTTTATCGTCCTCGGGTGGGCCACTGGCGTGACAGGCAGATAAGTCAGGCTGAGGTGGCTCCCCATTAGGCAAGATGCGGATGGATGGAGAGTGGGGGGGTAACCAGGCCGTTCTTTCCACTCTCAAAGACCCGGTGGACAGCCCCACCCCCACAGACTCATGCCCACCCCCTTCCCGCCTCAGAGGAAACCACAGCCCATGGCTGCAGAAGTGGCTCCACTGGTCGAGTGCTTGCCTGGCATGCAGTGTTTGAGGCTCGGTAGCACCCAGACCAGGGGCCGTGGCACACACACCTAATTGCACACAGACAGTGGAATCAAAAGAACCAGAAGCTCACAGCTTGCATAGGCTGAGAGAAGAGACGAGCCACAGCCCTTCTCAACAGGACCTGGGTGAGGGGAAGACTCCTCCCCTCCTGACTACTGGGGTGCCGCAAAGGACTCAAGACAAAGAGAAAGACTCCCAGCCAGACAACCCGCAAGTAAGGCAGAGTCCTGCCAGCCAGGCAGCCCCTGAAGACTGTACCAGGACCTCTGCAGGGCTTGTGTGTGCCCTCTGCCTGGACACCCTCCCCCAGATACCTACCTTCCTCTTCTCAGGCCTCAATCAAACACCATCCTTTTTTATGTGTATAGGTATTTCCCTGCATGTATGTCTGTATACCACATGTGTGACTGTGTGTGGAGGCCAGAAGAGGGAGTTAGATCCCCTGGAACCAGAGCTAGAGATAGTGTGAGCTGTCACATGGGTCTAGAAAACAAACCTGGCCAGGTCCTCTAGAACACCCAATGTTCTTAACCACTGAGCCATCTCTCCAGCCTCAAATTCCATTTGCTTAAGATTCCACATGACACTGCACCCCATCCCACACATCCACCCCTAAATCTTCTTGGCTGGGCTCGTTCTTCCCCCAACTGCACCTCACATCTGGCTTGCTACCTGCTAGCTGTGTGCAGACAGAACACTTGTTCGGCTCGTTAGCATGCTATCTCAGTCACCCGCTGCATGACCTACATACACACAGAAGATGCTTCAGAAAGATGGAAGAGTTCAAGGAGCCAGGCCCTGCCATCCCAGAGGCAGGAGGAGCTCAAGCTCAAAGCCTGCCTGGTCTACGAAGTGTGTTCAAGGCCATCCAGGGCAACCTAGTGAGACCCAAAAGAAAAGAGAGCTGGAGGCATGGCTCAATGGTTAGTGCTTGTCTAGCATGTGCGAGGCCTAGGTTCCATCCCCACTACCACACACACACACACACAAAGAAAAAAAAAACAAATAATCCATCAATGAATAAAGAACAAACTCTCCCAACATCAGCCAGTGGGAAAAGTGGGGGCTCACAGTGCCCAGCTGCCCTGCCTAGGAAACCCTGAGGTACCAAGCACCGTTCTACTCTGCTCCCACCTGCCAGCTCCCCAACACACCACACCAGTTTACACCAGAGGATCCAGGCAGCATGGATCCCTGCACACCCCAGGCGGCAAATGGAAATAAAAATGAGCCTACCAGAAACTTCCACCAGGAGGCTGTGTCCTCAAAGACTCGAGGGAGCTGTAGGAGAAAATAAGGATCTTGTCACTAAACATCACAGCTTCCCATGTGGACACCACGGATTTCCCACAGTGATGCCATGAGGGAGGTACCTCAACTCCCGACAGAGAAGGAGACTGAGGACCAGACAACCCGGGTTTCACTCCTGCAACCCCACAGCTCCTGCTTTAGGAAGACACAGAGCAGAGCTCCCAATCCCACTGTTTGGTTCCAAGAAGCCCATATCCCAACAGGGAACACCCTGCAAGACCATCATGGCCATGACCCTATCCCAGCGCCTCCCCCAGGACCCCAAGAACAAGCAAGCTGGCACCTGGCAGGCACTTACATTTACCATCTACATCCCCAAACCCCTAACTGAGCAGTGCCTGATAACACAAGCATGTCACCCCAAGCGCACAGGAGGCAACACATGAGTGAACACACAGAGTTCAAGGTCAGCCTGAGCAACTAAGCGAAACCTTGTCCAAAAGTAAAATGTCAAGAGAGGGGTTGGAGGAGTGTGGCTGGGTGGTAGAACCCCTGCCCAGCCTGCATAGGGCCTTAGGTTCAATCCCCAGTGCTGCCAGATCAAAATAAACAAAATTCCTTAACCAAATCATCATACAAAGACCGAGGCAATAGAGAGTCTGGGTCTGAAACACGGCATAGGTACTCTAACGCCCCAAAAAGGGACAATGGCTGATGGATGGCACAGGGCAATACTCCCAGAGTACAGATTAAGCCTGGAGCTACTGCCTACCAGGATGAATGAAATTAGACAACATCAAGTGTTGACAAAAACGGGAAACAGCTGGAGCTCACAGGCCCTGCGGCTGCAAACATGATGGAATCCCTACAGAGCCAAGCAAGTGTCTGCTTCATGACCTGGACCCACAGGCTCAGGCCTTTTAGTTTTGGAGACAAGGTCTTAGACAAGCCTGGAGCTCACGATCCCCCGGCCTCAGCCTCCAGGAATACTAGAGCTACAACCCTGAAACCTCCATTCAGCATTCTTCACTGTACAGCAAAAGGATGAGCAGGAACAACATGAGGTGGATCACACACCACACAGTCCAAAGAGCACTGACAATTGTGGCGGGTCTAGCATCCTGACCCCAGTCCTCCCTCAGAAACAAACTGGCCCCCAAAGTCATCTCCAAGATTCCTCCCAACACACCAACGCCTCCGCTTCAAGAGGAGCTTGGAGACCCCTGTTCCCAAGCCATGTTAGAACCCCAAAGATAAGAGGCCAGTGAAGAAGAGGGAGGTGCAACATGCTTAGGCTCTAGAGCAAGCACCCCAGGTGCTCAGCTGTGCAATTTGAAAGCCAGGAACTTCCCCTCTCGGTGCCTTAATGTCACGCCTCTGAAACCTGCAGTGGTAGAAACATCACAGCCTCACAGGCATGCTGGAACTGAGCGTGTAAGGAGGCAGGATGCACTCACTGCGTGCTCCTATGAATGCTGGCTGGCATTGCTGACTCAATCCAGGGCTGGCAGCCCAGCTCCAGCCCTGCACTCCCACACTGCCTGCCCTGGCAGGCCCCTTAAACTCCAGGCTTGAAGGGGCAGCTGCAGGCGACTCACAGGGGACCATCCAGTCGCTTCTTTCTGCCCTGTGTCCTCTTTAAGCCTTTGTTTGCTGTGATGCCCCGGGGCTTGGCACCGGGTCCTGCCATCTGCAACAGCTCCAGAGACAGGCCCTGTGGGAAGCTGGAATGGTGAGGACGGGCATGGCTCCCGGAAGCTTCGGCGGCCAGCCACCTGCAGCCTGTCTGTAATGGGCCAGGCAGCACCCTCTTTCCCTAGCAATAGGAGGACTGGCCCCTACCCTCGGAGGTCAGCTGGGAAATGGGGCCATCCCCTCCAGGCCCCCGCTGTCTGTGACCCCTCAATTCAGGGCCTGAGGAGTTTACAAGATCTGTGTGGAGCAGCTGTGAAAAACAGCTTTAGAGTCCAAGGGAGGGAGGCCCCATTTAGGGAGCCTAGCAGGACTGCTAAGAGAAGCGACTGCCATGCTGGCAGGAACTGGCAAGAACACAGACAGGAGACACAGCTAGGATCCCGTGCACGGCCTGGACAGGGCAGGAATGGCCGCCCATGCATGGACATCAGGTCGGATTCAGCCTGAGCAGCAAGGCCTTCAGCCAGGTCTTGGCTGAGAAGGCACAAGGTCCCATGCTGCTTTGAAGAACAGAGCGGAGGTGGTGGGAACCCCACAAGGTGAAGTGGCAAGCCAGGGAATGCCACAAAGCAGACAGTGAGTGGGTGATCAGGGAGGGCAGCCTGAACAGGAGGCCAGCTCACATGGCCTCCACTGAGCTGATAAGGGCTAGACCAGCTCCGCCCACAGTGGGATGTGAACAGGCCTGTGGACAGCTCAGATGGAGGACAAAGGGGTGGCCTGGCGTCACCAGCCCCTCATTTAGTACCTGAGGTAGCCGTCCCAGCTTCTCAGGCAGGAGGCTGAGGCTGGAGCCCGGAGACCACTCCCCCAGCTACAGCAGAGCCTGGGCCAGAGCTGTTGGAGCACCAGAACAAATGGGCACAGCTCATACACAGACCTTGTCCTACTTTTTACTGTCAACTTGACACAACCTAGAGTCACCTACAAGAAGGAGCCTCAAGTGAAGAATGGCTTCTATCAGATTGGCCAGTGGCCATTTCTGTGAGAGAGTGCCCTGACTCCTGAAGATGTGGGTGGGCCCAGCACGCTGTGGGTGGCACCATCCTGAAGCAGGTGAGCCTGGACAACATAAGAAGGCTAGCCGAGCATGAGCCAGTAAGCAGCATTTCTCATGGTTTCTGCTTTAGTTCCTAGCCTGACTTCCCTCTAGGATAGGAAATAAATTCTTCCCTCCCCAAGCTGCTTTCGGTCAAAGTGCATTATCACAGCAACAGAGATCAAAAGAATAACAAGCAATATAAATGTGTGCATGAGGAAGCGCGCGCGCACACACGCACACCCCACACCACACCCCAGACAGTCAGCAGCTGGGTTCCCATGTGCAGTACTGTCAGCAGGAGTCCTCACCTCCTGCCACAGGGAGCACACTCCTGCCACAGGGCCCACTCCCTGGGTTCCCAGCTCACCTGCACACTCAGCAGGCCTCCGCCACTCTCCCCTGCTCTAACTCATTTCCTCCACTGTTGGTAATGTCACACCCAGTGTTGGCCTGTGTGGCTTGCAGCCACTCCTCTCCAGAGGCACTCTGCTCACAAGCACACACAGCATGCCCGCACACTCCTCTCCATCCTGCCCCTCCCATCCCCTGTGCACACTTGGCATGCTGTCTCTGCACATCCATGTCTGCACATCTGCCGATCCTCTCACCCAGTGCTCCCCATCAAGTGGCCCCCAGTAGCCCTCTCTCAGACACACTAAGTATGGGGCACCCCTCCTTCCCTGCCAACATCCAGCTTTCCCCTCCAACAGCTGGAGGAAGTTCCAAGGGCTCCTCCCGCACCCTGGGGCTTAGAAGTCAGTTCCCAGCAAGGCAGCTGGGGGAGGGGACACTTTCCAAGGCACCTCTCCCAGGCCTCAGGCAGAGCTGGCCTCAAAGTGAGGCCCAAGGCTCCATCTCCAACCCTCTCCCACATCCCAGGCACCAGCTCCTCATCTGGGAAGCCACCTGACTGTTCCCCTGCCCAGCTCAGAAACACAGCAACAGGAGACTGTCTTTCAGCACAATGGGACAGCCAAGGGTGACTGAGCCACTCCTCTAGGCCAGGAAAGATGTGGCCATAAACAGAGAAATAGGACAGACCCAAGACAGACATGACACAGCCACACACCCCACACACCCATATGCCCCACGGGGCACCGAAGAAAGCAGTTCCAGGGAACCTGCCATGGACTGGGGGGCAGGGGGCAGCAGAAGGCAGTCAGGTGCTCAAGATCAAGGAAGAAACAGAGTGCAAAGCCCAAGACAGGAACTTCTGCAGGGCTTGGAAAGGGCACGGCTAAAGGAGGGGACAAGGGGCACTGACCTGCTCTCACATTTAGGGGTTACAGGGCCAGCCTGTAGACCCAGGGCAGTCTCTGAACTTCAGGCACTGCCCCTCCCAGGCCCTATCTAACTCCCTCCCACAGGAAGAGCTAAACACTCTGGACCTAAGCCATGAGCCTGCTGCAGACAGAAGCAAGGCCCAGCTCTGTGATCCTCAAGGCTCCAGCTCCTATGCCTCCCAAGCTCCTGTGCCGCTGGACAGATGACAGAAACCCTACGGGTGATGATCCAAGGAGGTGTTCCACACAGATGCCCATTACCTGCCAGCCTCTTCCTGGCCAGCAGTTATACCCTCCATGGGAGAGATGGTGCTCGGTCCCCAGATAAAAGGACAAGTGTGGACGGGTAGAGAACCTGGGGCCCAATCACAAGCAAGGCCGGGACCCTGCCCTGCAGCCCACACTCCAACCCAGACCGACATCATTGCCCTGGTGCCTGAAGCAAGGCTCACAGCACCTAGTTCCCACTCAGGACCCTCAGCTTCTATAGAGGACCCCAGCAGGTGCTTGGAGACACCGTTCACACAGAGCCCATCTTCCCCTAGATGAAATCACACACCCACACCCATACCCCCCACACACACACACACCCATACAAGAGCTATAGCCAAGAGGCCCAACTGTAAGAACACCAAGAGAGGCAACGTCCTAGAGAAGCCCTAAACTAGACACAGATTTGGCCCAGGCCTCAACATGCACATGACCTACACACCCCCACTTCCCACCCCACCCCACCCCAACCCCATGGCACTCTATATACACTGCAGTTTGAGGACTTGGACCGATACAGCCCATCTGTCTAAAGCTGGGGCGGCTAGATTCCCCAAGGCTCTGTGGGACCTGGGGGATCCCCCACCCTCCCAGGATATCCCTGGCTGGGCACATCTTTCCACACCAGGTAAACAGGAAGCCTACCCTGTCCCCCAGAGGCCTGTGTCACTGTGGGAGCCAGCAGCTGAGACAGCCAAGCAAAGGAGGCCGCTCCACCGCCCTTCCATTTAGAAGCCACG